GGTACACTGGAATAAAACCCAAGAGCCAAGATATAAAGGAAGTGGGCTCTCCTGATGAGTATCAGCTTTCCTTCCAACCTATTCACAATGGTAGCCTAAGTGACCTTTCTAGAATAATTATCTGAGTATACTTTTAAAATTGTTCAGCAGTCCCCCACTGCTATTGGGATTGAGTTCAAACTCAGCATGTCAAGAAAATCCTTATGACTTGACCCCTGCTCACCTCTCCAGACTCATCTTTTACCCTCCATTTCACCTTATACTTTACATTCCAGAATGATGAGGCTCTTTTGGGTCCCCTAATATAACAACACTCTCCCTCTTTTCTCTGCCGTGGATATTCTTTTCACAATGGCCATTTTTCTTCATCTGGCTAAACCTACTCCTTCAGGTCTCTCCTTATATGTTAATCCTTCCATACCTCTCTGGCCAAGCTGTTCTAAGTCTGCATTGGTAACCTTCCTATGTGCTCTTAAAGCATCCTGATTTCTTGGTAACAGTCATCACATATCTAATTATTTATGTCTTTTAAAGAAATTATTTAATTTGTTCAATAATTTAAACGAATGCTTTATTTAATGTCTTTCTCCATTAGCCTAAGTTCTGTGAGATCAGTGAGCATGCATCTTGTTCACTGTTGTGTTCCCAATGCCTAGAAGAGAAACTAGCATAGAGTGGGCACTCACATATTTGTTGACTACATTCTTGACTAAATGCCCTCAGTGGGGCTTAAAGTGTATACACAAATAAGTAATATAGTTTGAAGACAGTATTCAGAAGACCAGAATTCTTTTTCAGCTTAATGAAAATGACCAAATCATTCAAAAGAGCAATCCTCATCTCTAAAGGAAAGAGCACAATTAATAGACCCCTTACTTGTAGGAATTTGTGAGAGCAGCAAGAAAAAAAATTATTTTCCTCAAGGATCTGAAGTAATATCATTTGGCTGCCAGGACTCCAAACTCTCCTGATCCTCTGACCTCACTGGCTACTCATTCTCAATCTCCTGTGCTGGTCCTTCCTCATGTTCTAGACCTCTAATGTTTGGATGTGTCCAGGCTTATTCCTTGGACTGCTTCTCTTCACTACCTGGAATTATTCCTATGTGATCTTATCTAATCTCATATTCTTTACATGTTAGTAAATTAATAACTCCTAAATTTATATCTCAATCAAATGCCAGACTTATATTTCCAAGAGCCTAATTGACTGCTTGGATGTTCAAACATAGCAAGTCTGAAACCAAAGCCCTAATCCTCCCCCAAACCCGCTCTTCTCTCAATCTCATCAAATGGCAACTCCTTCCTTTCATTTCTCAGGTCAAAATTTTTAAGAATCATCCTTGATTCCCACTGTTCTTTCACAATACAAAACCAATGTGTTAGCAAATTTTCTGGGCTATATCTTCAATGTATGTCTAAAATCTAACCAGTTCTCACCCCCTCCACTGCTATTACCCTGGTCCAAACCACCATCATCTAGCTCCTGGATGGCTGCAATAGCCTTCTAATCAAACTCCCTACTTGTACCCTTATCCCCCACCATGTAGCCTCAACTCAACAGCTAAAATGAGCTTTTAAAATATAAATCCAATATAGAATTACCATATGACCCAGCAATCCCACTCTTAGGCATACACTCAAGAGAAATGAAAACATGTTTCCACAAAAAAACCTGTTCACAAATGCTTATAGCAGCATTATTCCCAATAGCCAACAGGCCAAATGTCCATCAATGGATGAATGGATAAATGAAATATGGTCTATATATAAATTGAAATATTATCAACAGTAAGAAGGAATGAAGTTCTAATACATGCTACAACATGGATGAACATTGAAAAATTATGTTAATTTAAAGAAGCCAGACATAAATGGCCACATTTCATTGACTCCATTTATACAAAATGTCCAGAATAGACAAATTCATAGAGAATGAAAGCAGGTTAGGGGCTTGGAGAAATGTGGAATGACTGCTTAATAGGTCCAGGGTTTCTTCTTGGATTGATGAAAATGTTCTAAAATACATACTTTTAAAATGTTAAAGTTACTGATTTTATACTATGTGAATTTTACTTCAATTTAGAAAAAGAAAAAAATAGTATCAGTCATTCAAAGCCCTCCATATCACTTGGAGTAAATGACAGAGTCCTTACAGTATCAACAAAGTCTTAAATGATCTGCTTTTCACCCTATCTCTGTCTTCATATCCTACCCTTTCCCCCTTCTAATGCAGTTCCAGACTACTCTAACATGCCAAACACAAACTCACCTTAGATCTTTATAGCTTTTGCTTTCTCTGCTTAGAATGCTTTTCCCCCAGATACTCTCAGGGTTTGCTCCCTCATTTGCTTCACATCTTTGTTCAAATGTTACCTTATTAAGACTTTTCCCTGGATGTCTTTAATAAAACAGTATATGTACACACATGCTTTCCTGGCACCCCATATCCCTCATTTTCTCCATAGCACTTGTCAACATCTTATCCTATCAAATAAAAGACAAACATGGTAATTAGCATACGACCACTACCCTTCCCATTGGCTAATCAGGGCGATATGCAAATTAACTGCCAGCCAATATGGCGGCCGGGG